TAGGAGCTTTTAAAGACTGATGTTACCATACATTTATAACTCTTCAATGAGGTACAGACAAGAACTTACGTTTGTACATTCAGATTAAACAAAGGGATTAGCATATATACAAGATAAAAAGGCGAAAGGGAGACCTAAACTGGCGGTGAAGTTTACCATAAAATTTGCAAAATATGTTCTACTTTTCCGCGAGTTAATCAATCATAACTGGAAGAATCTCCTCAGACTTGGTTTTTTAAGGATTTAACCAGTTTGTTAAGAGAAAGTCAGAATTTTAAGGATGATAGATGTTTTAAGCAACAGTTAGAGTTAGATAAACTCACTGAAGCAAAAATGGCCGAATAGCTTGAGAATGCCGCGTGAAGTGAGGGGAAGGTGAGCCAAGCGTACCGTAGCTCATCAGCTCCGCGAAAGTTGCAAGCCAAGTTTGGTGATGGAGACGGCGAATGTTCGAGTGGAGCTGTGCAGGCACTGAACATTACAGTCTCATGCCGAAAATGAGTTTATGATTATTCTGCGATCCTACCTTATAGAGACATTGCATAGCGAAAGGAAGTATGGTCGTTGATAGCCGGTCATCAGTTTGATTGTGTCCACAAAGATTTGCGTTACCAGGGCTCCACATAAGAATACGGCTGCAAAACACAAATTTATTTTAGTCATAAGAATGGAAAGGAAGTTGCGAGTGAATCGATGAGCTCTTACCAATAAATCGCAGAAGTCTTCTCGTAAACAGATGCACTTTGCATTCTCCGCAGTTTGCATAAACTGTTTTACGCGGTTTTGTGGAGAACAACCAGAACATTACCTCGCCGATAAACATCTAAAGTGATACGTTTGGATAGAAAAGTCAGCAAAGAGAGTTTTTCACTCGAAAATATCGAAACTCAGGTCGAGCATTTACAGGATAAGCTGAAATAGGTAGTTGAACGGCAACCTATCACCACCAAACACGCATGAGACGTCAATTATGTCAAACCTCCAGAGTTTATCCAAGTCATTGAGAACTACTTCACAAAGGGGTGTTCCGCGAACATTCATAACTCTGGCTCAAAACCATCTTTTAATAGTCCTCATCATAGGTTCGATACTACAGAGACAAGAGAACAAAAGTGATAGTGATTTTAACTAAGGAACTTTGCAAAAAGTGATGGTGGTTTTTGATATATGGTAGCTGAAGAGGAAATAAGGAAATTTTCTTGATTCAAAAAGCAATCAGTGGGCAGCTTCTTCCAAGTAGCCAATGAAAAATGTGCAAAAATGACGTAACACTTCCTTCAAACATTCTCCAATCATTTTCTTCGTCCCCCTTCCTTTTCGTGAATATACCTCCAAAAAATTGTGGAGCTAGAGTCGTCTTTTTACATAAAAGTGAAATTGTGAACAATGTTAGCATGATTCAACGTGTTCCAACGTGTTTGACACTCTTACATCCTTGAGCAGTCATTAGAATACTGAACTTGCGCTCTAATTGCATACATTTTTCTTTTCGGGACCAACAAGGACGGAAAACGGGGGAAATGCGGAGAAAAACAAAGAGATTTATGGGTTTACGAGAGTGGTCACGTGAGATGCATGGTAGTGTCCTCAAACTATAAAGTTAAGCGCTGAGAATGAGGTTAAAAGTAGAATCATTCTTCTAAATTTTAAAATAAAAAACGACTCCAAGAGAAAAGTCATTTTCGCATCTTTCCTTTAAATTTTTCCCCCAAATTCATGATTTCTGAAAGTTGCGCAGTTGTTTACGTTCTACAGCACTATATTGCAAACATAATGATTTTAAGGTTGAGATAGACTATCCTGAAATCTTCAGAAAGTCATAAAAAGAGATACGGGTTTTTTGGTGCGTCCTTTAAAATAATTCGCCGGATATTTGAAACTGAAAGTTGCGCAGTTGTC